TACACAATTTTTTCTTTGAAGACGGAAAATGCCACAATATAACACAAAGAATATTTCTTATATAATATATGTAATATGTGTTGGGTTATCCTTTAATGTCTGTAATTTAATAATTCAGCTTCTGCCTGTACCGTCGTTACATATTAAGACGATCATCTTTAAGTTGAAAGTTACTTCTTACTCCAATGACTGATAAAATTTGATTATACTTACAGGAATCAGACAATTATCAAATTCTACGTGACTTTAGACTTTATAGACTCCAACCAGTGCAATTTTTAAAAATAGGATCATTAATAAAAAATTATTTGAATTAGGTATAAATTGCGTGAAAAATATCAAATGACATTACTATTGGAGTCACACCACAGCTAATTTCCAGGCTAAATTACAGATTCGCCAATTTTATTTTAAAGTTTTTACCTTTCTCAGCAGAAGAAAAGAAAGATTAGAGAAATTTACTTGACAAAATATTTCATCTTTTTTTACAAGTTAATAGTGCTAACTTAGTTTATAGTATGTCATGTCTTCTTACAAGAAATATGGAAATTCTAGTGTCATTTGTGTCACTGTTTATCCCGGAAGCTTCATTCTAATCCAGAAATTTCCAACTCCTCAACGAAAGATATTCTGACCTTTATTCGAAAGAATAAATGTCTTTTAAATGATTAGGGTCATATGTTCACGCAGAAGATCTACATACTATGATTTTAGTTTTAGTCAATGGAAGCATAGAACTAACACATCACTCAATATGTCGTCTGACAAACTAAGAAAAACAAATTTTTTCTGCCAAAAATCGATATTACTCATTACTAAATTCTCTTTCAAGGGCAATACAATCATTCAAACGCTTCTCTAGCTTCTCGATGCCGTGCTTGTGGAAGGATTTGTCTTTTACTTCAAAATAGGCTTCAGTTTCAGCAATTACTTCTTCATTTGAGATGAATTTCTTACCGGCGAGCAATTTTTTTGAGATCAGCGAATAGCCAGTAATCGCTGGGGGCCAGACCTGAACTATACGGTTGATGAAGAAGCAATTTGAAGAGTAATTCGTGCAATTTTGTCATCGTTTTTATTGACTTGGGACATGGTGCATTGTCTTGGTGAAAGAAAAATTTTTTTTGCCATATGCGGTCCTTTTTTCACAATTTCTGCTTTCAAATGATCCAATAATGCCGTGTAGTAGTTACTATTGATGGTTTTTTCCTTTTCGAGATAGTCAATGAAGATTATACCATGTGCATCCCAAAATACTAAAGCCGTAACCCTCACAGCTGACTGTTGTGCCTTTAGACGCTTCGGATGTGGTTCACTGGCTGCAGTCCACTCAGATGTTGAGGTTGGTACTTCATAAACGTCATATGGATTTGACAATGGCAGCGCCATGTGTGCGTCAGTCGTACGACTTATTGAGCGATGTAATATTTCATATAATTTTTTATTCTTCTGTTCTAGTTAGTTCTAAATTAACCTAAGTTGTAATAGTTTACAATACGTGTACATGTATTTGACTTCTCTCAAATGCTATTTTAAAGTTAATTATCATTTAAATTGATAATTATTTATGGCTTATTTATTGCATACTAAATACATGATATATTAGATTAATAACAAACAAATTTTCACCTTCCATTAATTTTTAATCATCTTAATTTATTGATGCTGTGATCTTAACTTTTTTTCGTATATTCACTGCAACTTTTTTAATAACATTTATCTCAAAGTGAATTAAAGTACACTAAAACGTTTCATTTTCAATTAAAAATTAATTGCAATTATTAGTCTAAGCCACTAATTGCTATTTTACTTAACATTAATGCTCACAACTTACAAGTTAATGTCAGCAAAATCATCAATTAAGTTAATTTACATAATAATTTTATAATAAAATTTTGCCGTGTATGTTCCCTGAGATACACGAAGCCATTAATTATGCATTTTACACATCATTTACGCGCGAAAAAAGCAACTATGATTTTAGTAATTTTTTTAGGATTTGCCTCTTTTCTAACAAGTTTCCTAAACACTTCTGTGTCATTAAAAAAAAATTTGTCTGTTCATTGTATGGCATACCTACGGCTAAGCTGTTAATGTGTTTTCTGTGAGAACCTACCTACCAACGACGAACGAGCAACGACCAACGACCCTGTGATTAGCGAACTTAAACTATAAGTTTGCTCACCTAAATGCTTACCAATCAATTTCTATATTTTCGCCAATAAACAATAAAACATAATGACGGACACCCACTGGTGACGCTAAACATAGCTGTCCATGCTGGTAGTGGCACTATATTATGCCGCTGATTATGACAAAGCTATGTTTATTTCTTATCTTCTTCTACTCTTCTGTTCGATTATGGGACTCATTGTAGTCTACAATGACGTAGAGGAAGATGAAACTGTTCGTAAGTTGGTGTTACTTAGTGATGGTATAATCATCATAATCAACAGTTGTCGATATTAAATTTAGGCGTTAAACATGTAGCTTTTCTCCAACAAACCAAAGTTAAATACATATAGCAAATTCTTCCCACCTCCAAAC